TATAAGTGCAATACATAAATATAATATAATACAACAAAACAAACCTATGTGCTTTTGTTCCTAGAATCCTCTCAATGAGGGCATCCATACAATTTGGATAAGCCGGACAATGTTCCCTTATGGACAATGAACAAAACCAAGGTGTTGAAAAAGCATAAGTTTACGATCTTGATCTAATCTATCCAGTAATTTGTATCTGTAATAAATAACATTTATAAATAAATTTTAAAAATATATAGTAATAGGATACACAAAACAAATAAACTTACCTAGAATCATCTTGCAATACATCTGTAATTTCTTGATATCTTCTTGCGCGTTATGGCACCTGATGGAACTACACTTTTAAAATGATAAAATATATCAGCATGTTCCAGTAAAAGTTCCTATAATTAATAAAACGTAAGTATCATAACTATTATGTATCGAAATATTAATTCTTACCTGAAAATTATGTTTGGCGTTTTCAACAAGTTTCCTCTGATGATTATCATAAATCTGTTGGCAATCATGCTCTGACAAAGCCTCGAAACATTCATGTCCCATAAAAAATACTCTGACTTCAGATAATTTTTACCTGGCGTTACATAGCCTGTGTCTTCCAGTAGTTGTTTAAATTTTGTTTCTTCTATCTACAATTTTTTTTTTTAATTATTTTATTATTTATTTCATAAATGATCATATTTTAAAACCTGGCAAGGTATTATACCCTGTCATAAAAATAAACTACTTGATTATATGAATTTGGATTCTGCATACATATTAATTTAAGGCCATTCCTTGTACCTTGTGTTTTTTTTTTTGAAATTTACTTTACGTTGAAAAAAAACTGTTTCAGCAAACATATAAACAAAGATTCCAATACTACTATAACAGTCACTAAACTTCTTAAACATATTTAAATTTTACAATTAAATTTCTGTTTTCATAAATTTATTGAAATACATACATATTTTTTGGGTATTTGAATTGAATGTTTTTTTTTTTACATTTTGTAAGCATATGAGAAATTTTATATGATTTTCGATTTTTTTCTTAATTTCAATTAAAATATATATATATTTGTAACCTATATGCTTTGCTACAGAAAATTTTATTTATCGCATTTGAGGTACTGATGTAGGGGAAATATGGATGAAATCGTATACACGGACAAAATAAAATGGGGTCTTATTTAAAAATTTATCAGATTATGTAACATTTTCGCATGATTGTAACTGTCGAGTCGCAGTAATCAATTTAAACAAGTTTTGCTCCTTCAAAAGTTCATTTTGACGGTCTTTTGGTCAAGTTTTTCGGGACGTAATTTATTGAATTCATTACTCACTTATATTAATTATTATTAAGGATTAATAAACTCACCGCTTTGGCATCCTGGTGTTAGCAAAAATTAAATACAAAAATATTAATGTTAATTATCAATTGAATAATGAGTAATTAATTCTATCACATGAAATTATTAAATTCATCAAAATAAAAATGATTTGCTCACTCTAGGCGCTTCCTCTCTTGCTGTAAAGAATTGACATGATTCTTATACATTGTTTCAGCTTCCGGTGTATCCAGGACATCAAAAGGTATTCTAGTTTCTTCAGTGTCACTTAAATCCATTTCTGTCCAGGTTTCACCATCGGGACACTCATAGAAATAACGTTCAAAATCAATATTAGATTTCAAATATCCTTGTATTGTTGGCCAATCACTGTAGGGACAAAAATTCAAACAATGGTAAGATCAAATATGCTCGAATTTCAATTAAGGTTTAAGCAAATATAAAAGTAATTTTGCAAAACACTGTACCTTTGCGTAAGAGTATTTATGTCAGGTATCATTTCTTGAAGAACTTTAGAGAGTTGATCTATATATCTGGTTAATTTGTATGCTAATTGCTCTTCTCGTAATTGTTTGATATGCTTTCGGAATAAACGTTGAGATCCATCCAATCCAAATAACTCTACAAAATATGTCCATCTTCCTTCTGACCAGCTAGTTCTTAGCTGTTTGCGTCATGTCGCCCTTAAATAATTTTTATATTAAAAAAATAAGGTAACAGGCAACATAATATCTTCTTAATCAATTAAAGGTAAAAAATATGATTTTCAAAAATACCTGTGATCTTTAACATGGGTCCTAATTAATCGTGAGAATGCATCTGTAGAAGCTTCTAACATTTCCTTCCTCATTCTATTTGCTTCAGCATATGAAATTACCTTTGATCGAATTTTTGCCTTATCTATCATTTGGGCTAGATAAATGAATGCTAATTCTACATTTATATTTTGATGCGCTGAAGTTTCTATCATAGCAATTTGACCCTTGTATTCTTTGCGTTGAATTACTTTTTCAGCTTCTCGCGTATAAGCATCGTTGGAGTCATCATTCTTTGTGGTTACAAGAACTATGGGTTTTTTAGTTTTCATCAAACTATTAAGTATACCGGCGACATGTTCAATCTGTTTTTCAAGTGAACGGTTTGGAACGACACTCACGTCAAACACACATATAAAACCATCAATGTTCAATTTTCCGTCCGGAAGGACCTTTTGTTCGTATTCTTTTTCTATGCCAAGTTGATTCTTGCATATGTACATGAGCTTTTCAGCAGACGTTATCTTTGTAGCCGCACAACGCTTTTACGTAGGGCTCGAGTTACCTCCTAAAGTGCAATATAAAAGTGAAGTAAGTCCAAACATAAATCGAATTACTTTCAGAGAAATTTTATAAAAGAGAAGTTAAAATACCTTTGAAGGTTGGAAAGAGCGTCGTCGATAAACTCAGTTTGTTCAATAACGTGGAAGTTATACTCGCCACCTTCCTCGGAGGTTTTGAGAACTTCGCCCCAATATAAGAAATGGTCATTGTTGACTACTCTGCCACTAAAGTCGGTATAGAAACACAATTAATACATTGATATTATACTACGAAATAAAATACAAATACTTCTTGGTTTATAAAATTACAATCAAGGTCCATTGAACTGAAATTATGTAAAGAGTGAAATTTCCAAAAAATGGGTTTCTGTTACTTTAAGGAGAATATCTAGACCATATTTTTACTATTTTTTTTACTAGTTAGTAATGCCTTGTGAATTTATAAAAATAATAATAAAATAGTCATCGAGTTTAATTCTAGAAAAGGATGACGTGGAGGGGTCTTGAAAAATTGGCACCTGACTGACCATACCCATGATTTCAGCCCTTCAAATAATTCGAAGAAAAATACATGTATATTATTAATCTAGAATAATGACGCAATCGCATAAACAACTACGGACAAGTTAAAAAATATTTTTTCTCTAAAAAAACGACTGTTAAAGAAATTATTTTTTACAACTTTTTTTATATTCTCGATTTTTTAAAAAATAGTTACAATACACATACATATAGTCCGGTACGCATTCAAGGTTACAATAATTCATAATGGGCTGTAACTTAGCAAAATTGTTTAAAATACAATTATAAAAAAAATCTCAAAAATCTCATCGATCCGATGCGAGCTAAAAAAAAAACCCTTTTGCGATTTTTAGCTAAATGGTCAGTTTTATCGCAAAATCACCTGAGACAATATTGTAGAGTATAAAATTATCTACAAAAAAATGGATCAATTTTTTTTTGCTCAAAGCCACCGTTTTAAAGATGTCACTTTGAAAAGTACGCTTAAACGCCCTGAACTATGAATTATAAATTATAGTAACCTTCACCCAGATTTTAGGTTTAAATTGTCCGGGCTAATAAAGATTCTGTAAAAATTTCTTGTCGGTCCAGTAAAAGTTTGCGAAACCGTGGACATCGTGTTTCGAAAAAGACAGTTTCAAGAAAAAACGCTAAAATAGAAAAGAGAGGAGAATTATCGTCACCAATTTTTTAATTTAAATTGTGAAAAATACTCTTGTGCACATATCTTCAATAGATAATGAAAAAAAAAACAAAATCTTTTTTTTTTTTTAATTCTAGACCAGAATATCCTCAAAATTTTATCTTGAAAAGTTTTGAATCAAGCGCGGTATAATTACAGTAGAACCTCGATTATCCGGACCTCGGTTATATGGATTCGCGATTATCCGGACATAATCGCGTCGGAACTTGCATATTCTGATGTGCATATATACATTAATACATTCTCTGTTTTGACGTGCATATATACATTTTTAAAGGGTGGTGTTATCCCTTAAAGATAAAATAAACATTATAGAATCATTAAAAAAAGGCGAAACCGGCCGTAAGTTAGCTGATAGGTATGGTGTAGTATAGATACATCCACTATAAGCGATATTGAAAAGAATGCCGCTTCAATTTTGTCGTACACTTGCAAATTAGATAGTAAAGAAGAGGGTAGTGAAAATCGGAAAATGGTAAAGAGACCGAAAAATGAACTCTTAGAAGAAGCTTTATATTGTTGGTTTTTACAAAAACGATCAACAAATTATTTGTAAGCAACTTTTCTTCTTCATACTTACTTTACGTACCACCTGATACTTATACATACGATACTTTACGTACCACCTGAATATTTTAGCTCATGTTAATATAATATGTATAATGTAATCTAAGAAAATATGTAAGTGTTTAATTTTCTAATAAACATCGATTTTTGTTGATATCTATGTATGCATTTGTTATTTTTGATAAACAAAACATTATTCTTCATAATTTGGATTATCCGGATTTTCGATTATCCGGATGCCTATCGACAACAATTAGTCCGGATAATCGAGGTTCTACTGTATAACCAATTTGTACCTGGCTCAAAACGGATATATGATCGACGCTATAATCATCAGTCAGTGTCCTCATGAATCTGTTACAGAGGCAGGATTTTCCTACGCCCATTTGTCCTTTGTCGCGTTCCATTCCAGACAAGCCGACAACGGCGACGCTCACGGTGCGTACGGCGTCCGAGCGACGTGCCATCATTACAGATACCGTCACCAAACGCTACCGCAAATTTGTCCGACTCCTGCAAATCAAATTTTTTTTTATTTAATTAATTCTGCAATCTGTTTTACATGAGCATTAACATTAAGCAGAGATCGCTAACAATAACTATCTTACAATATAAACCAGAAGATAGTAGCAACACCCAGCGGCGTGTCTACTAGGTATAAGGACTAATTATCTATACTCGAAGTATTTGCTGACGATTTTATTATATGTGCAGTGCTGGATTTACAGTAGGGGCAGTCGGGGCTACTGCCCAGGGCGGCAGATTTTCGGGGGCGGTAAAATTTGGATAGTGGGAAAAAATGCTATACAATGTAATCAACTAATTTTTTTAATAACGTTTTTTATTTCCAGAAATATAGTTAACTTTTATTAATTTATATAAAACATACTACGAATGCAATGCAAAATTTGGATTCAAATAGACGATTATTAAATTTTATTATTTTTCTTTGACTCCCTCTCCGAACATAAATTATCAAATTGGTTAACAAGTTATTATCAAATTTGGCAATTGGGCTAATATAAAGTTTCGTAAAGGAGCTGAAAGTTTAAGAAAAATATGTGCTTCAAATCTCGAGCTCTCTTAGAACGACAAATTTGTGCACTTTCAAGCCTATAGCGCCTAAAAAAATTAAACTAGTGACGATTAATCACTGAAAATTACTGGAATTTCTCTTACTGAAAATTACATTTTATAAAGAGCATTAAAATTTTCAGAAATATGAAAAAATGCCCTTTAAAAACCTTTTTTTTATATGTATATTGAAATTTTTTGAAAATTATGAACTTTTTTCAAAGCAATCGCGCTGCAAAAAATTTCAAAATATAAAAAAAAGCTCAAAATTTTCAAAAATTGTTTTCAAAAAATATTTTTTTTTAATTCTAATTTTTGGTACAGGAATAATATATAAAAACAATTTAAGAAACATTTCAGGGATGGGGCGGCATTTTTGTCAGTGCCCCAGGGCGCCAAATTTCTAAATCCGGCCTTGTCTATGATGTTATATCTTATATGAATCTATATGTTTTTCGCGCTTTTGAGCCTTGTATAATATTCTATTCAATTTTATTCATAAATATTTTGAAAAAATTAGCACTTGTTCGTTTGTTTTCATACATTTTAATGTTACTTGTTAATTCATCTGTTAATTTTTGAAAAAAGCCAGGACAAAAGATCTAAATCCGGTACAAATCATGCTTTTGAAATAACCTGAGACACAAGGTGGAAATCCGGGACTGTACCGGCCAATCCGGGAGGTATGGTCACCTTAATTGTAGTAGATTTACTAGACCCATTGTAGTAGATTTACTCGACCAATTGAAATACATTTACCGCACTCATTGTAGTAGATTTACTACAACCATTGTAGTAGATTTACTCGACCAATTGAAATACATTTACCGCACTCATTGTAGTAGATTTACTATACTCATTGTAGTAGATTTACTACACCATTGTAGTAGATTTACTCGACCAATTGAAATACATTTACCGCACTCATTGTAGTAGATTTACTAAACCATTGTAGTAGATTTACTCGACCAATTGAAATACATTTACCGCACTCATTGTAGTAGATTTACTATACTCATTGTAGTAGATTTACTACACCATTGTAGTAGATTTACTCGACCAATTGAAATACATTTACCACACTCATTGTAGTAGATTTACTATACTCATTGTAGTAGATTTACTACAACCATTGTAGTAGATTTACTCGACCAATTGAAATACATTTACCGCACTCATTGTAGTAGATTTACTATACTCATTGTAGTAGATTTACTACACCATTGTAGTAGATTTACTCGACCAATTAAAATACATTTACCACACTCATTGTAGTAGATTTACTATACTCATTGTAGTAGATTTACTACAACCATTGTAGTAGATTTACTCGACCAATTGAAATACATTTACCGCACTCATTGTAGTAGATTTACTATACTCATTGTAGTAGATTTACTACACCATTGTAGTAGATTTACTCGACCAATTGAAATACATTTACCACACTCATTGTAGTAGATTTACTATACTCATTGTAGTAGATTTACTACAACCATTGTAGTAGATTTACTCGACCAATTGAAATACATTTACCGCACTCATTGTAGTAGATTTACTATACTCATTGTAGTAGATTTACTACACCATTGTAGTAGATTTACTCGACCAATTAAAATACATTTACCACACTCATTGTAGTAGATTTACTATACTCATTGTAGTAGATTTACTACAACCATTGTAGAAGATTTACTCGACCAATTGAAATACATTTACCGCACTCATTGTAGTAGATTTACTATACTCATTGTAGTAGATTTACTCGACCAATTGAAATACATTTACCGCACTCATTGTAGTAGATTTACTACAACCATTGTAGTAGATTTACTCGACCAATTGAAATACATTTACCGCACTCATTGTAGTAGATTTACTATACTCATTGTAGTAGATTTACTACACCATTGTAGTAGATTTACTCGACCAATTGAAATACATTTACCGCACTCATTGTAGTAGATTTACTACAACCATTGTAGTAGATTTACTCGACCAATTGAAATACATTTACCGCACTCATTGTAGTAGATTTACTATACTCATTGTAGTAGATTTACTACACCATTGTAGTAGATTTACTCGACCAATTAAAATACATTTACCACACTCATTGTAGTAGATTTACTATACTCATTGTAGTAGATTTACTACAACCATTGTAGAAGATTTACTCGACCAATTGAAATACATTTACCGCACTCATTGTAGTAGATTTACTACAACCATTGTAGTAGATTTACTCGACCAATTGAAATACATTTACCGCACTCATTGTAGTAGATTTACTATACTCATTGTAGTAGATTTACTACACCATTGTAGTAGATTTACTCGACCAATTGAAATACATTTACCGCACTCATTGTAGTAGATTTACTACAACCATTGTAGTAGATTTACTCGACCAATTGAAATACATTTACCGCACTCATTGTAGTAGATTTACTATACTCATTGTAGTAGATTTACTACACCATTGTAGTAGATTTACTCGACCAATTGAAATACATTTACCGCACTCATTGTAGTAGATTTACTACAACCATTGTAGTAGATTTACTCGACCAATTGAAATACATTTACCGCACTCATTGTAGTAGATTTACTACACTCATTGTATTAGATTTACTACAACCATTGTAGTAGATTTACTAGACCAATTGAAATACATTTACCACACTCATTGTAGTAGATTTACTATACTCATTGTAGGAGATTTACTATACTCATTTTAGTAGATTTACTACAACCATTGTAGTAGATTTACTCGACCAATTAAAATACATTTACCGCACTCATTGTAGTAGATTTACTACACTCATTGTAGTAGATTTACTATACTCATTGTAGTAGATTTACTACAACCATTGTAGTAGATTTACTCGACCAATTGAAATACATTTACCACACTCATTGTAGTAGATTTACTATACTCATTGTAGTAGATTTACTACAACCATTGTAGTAGATTTACTCGACCAAGTGAAATACATTTACCGCACTCATTGTAGTAGATTTACTACACTCATTGTAGTAGATTTACTACACTCATTGTAGTAGCTTCACTACACTCACTGCAATAGCTTTACTACACCCATTGTAGTAGATTTACTACACTCATTGATATAGATTTACTACATTCATTGTAGTAGCCTTACTACAATCATTGTAGTAGAATTACTAGATCAACTGCAGTAGATTTAGTACATTTATTATTGTAGATTTACTACATTCATTGTAGTAGATTTACTGCACTCCTTGAAGTAGATTTAGTAGACCCATTGAACTACATTTACTACATTTACTACACTCATAGACCCATTGTAGTAGATTTACTACACTTATTATAGTCGATTTACTACTCTCATGGTAGTAGATTTACTACTCTCATTGTAGTAGATTTACTGCACTTTTTTGTTTTGGATTTGTTCACCCATTATAGTAGTAGTAGTAGTAGATTTACGATTTACTACATTCATAACAGTAGATTTACTACACTCATTGTACCCATTGTAGTAGCTTTACTACACTTACTATAGTAGATTTACTACATTCGTTGTAGTAGATTTACTAGACCCATTGTAGTGGATTTAATAAACGCATTGTACTAGATATACTACACTCATCGTATTAGATTTACTACACCGATTGTACTGGATTTACTAGACGTTTATTAAAATTGTAGTAAGTTGATCATATTTTTCTAACAATAAGTCAAAACCGAAACGGAAATTTCCAGTTATGTTAATCCGGGACGAGGGGTATATACTAACAGTTTTTTTTATATAAATCTTTTCTTAAATAATAATTGCGGACTATTAGTAAGAACTTTATTATTCGATTATATGTCATACTTTTTCATCTATGATATGCATCTATACCCACCACGAGAGGCGATTTTCACTTGAGGCTTTATTTAAGATCTATGACCTCAAGTGGAAATTTGACATCAAAGTTGCCTGATGTCATGCTTGGTGGTAGGGGGAATCGAACCAGCAAACTTGAGACTAGTTGGTACTAACCCACGCTCTAACCGATATCGCTACCGCTGGCTCGCAAATCAAATATATTCGATTAAAAATTAACTATTTTCGGTCATTTGTCCACTCTCAGCCACCACCGCAAGTTACTATATGAATCGTATTCATACAAAAAAAAAATTCACTAGATAAAAATTGAAGAAAAATATATCTTAAGTTCATTATTTTCATTATTAAATCTGGTTTACACATCCTACTCTGTAAAATCCTCGCGGGGCTCTCAAAAAGGGTAAAGTTTTCTCACAAAATAAAAAAATACATAAAATTAAAAGTCATATTTATACTGATTTATTAGGGGCCTTTACCTAATCACGTGATAGATTTTCAAGGATTTTTGAACTCCCTCTTAGGGAGCGTAAATTAATCACGTGAGCGAGTTTTGAGAATTTTTGG